TTTTCTTCTGTGTTTATGACATTACTTCCCGTTTCTTGCATTTCACAAGGTAGATAACTACTTGTATCTTACTAACTCTGACCTTTTAGCAGATTATAAAAGTAATAGAGCGTCACTGTCACTTGAATCAGTTATCACTTTGCATATACAAATACTTTTGGCACAGGACATCTCCAAATGACTCAGTGGAGAAAGCCGTTAGTATAATCAACTATAAGACCCCATTAACAGTCGGGAATAATGCAGAATGGAAGACCAGACGTAAAGGCAGGCCTATGCTAACATTTAGAAGGAGATTTAAAAAACAGGGGGAGATCTGCAAAGCAGTGAATTCGACTGTGCGCGCAAAATGGCTAAGGGAATGGATATGTCATCACGTTTCTGCGCAATTTGTGAGACATTATCTGCACAGCGAGGCCTCATACGATCAGAAAGTGATTTGAGTGAGCAGGCTGAACCATGACAAAGGTTGGCTCGCAACAGCTGCTACACTGTTTCGAAGAAACCGTCATAAGGGATTCCAGTTCATCGACGAAAAGATGTTCGCAGTGAGAAGACGATAAGATCTATGCAAAGCTGAAAGCGATTGAAATGATACAGAACTAGGCTCACTGTCTTTCTGTGATGGCTTAGCAAGCACCATCGCCAAGGCAAAAACACCGATTATTTTTGCAACTCAAGAAGTCAAAATTAATTCGGAGATCTGTTTGATCTCGACAGTGCAATTAGACGCTGTGTAGATTCGGACCGGACATATTTCCGAGATGAAGCTCCTGATCGCAGATCAGAAATTGTCCAGCAGTTTGTAGGAAGAGTTTTCTGAATAATAACCTTCGATCACTGACCACTTAAGAATCCTGAGCTGAATCCACGGATGTTGCAGAGTGGTCAACATTGGAAGTAAGGCATGCTATTGCCCAAACAAGAACTATATAATCTTGAAAATGCCTTGAAAGAAGTCGGGATCAACTCGTTGGCTAGCTGTGTGCCGCAATCAACGCCTCCTACTGTAATCCTTGGGCTTGAGTGAAAGCAGAAGAGAACACATCTCAATCTCAGTGTACTACTTCAATGAGAAATTAGCGATACACTTTCTTGAAATTTGTATTTTGTTAGATTCTATTCGTTTTCAGGGATGTGGTATTTTTGTCATCATAATTTTAGCCCACCGGGTATGTGATATCCGTGTCATCATAATTTTGGCCCATTCTTCATATAGATATATAGAATAGAAAAGCAGGAAAGGGTGAAATATCAGAATACTACACTGTAAAACTATAGAAAGGAGTCCTCGAACGATCAGCTGGTGACAATGTCAACAGATATGCCCCAATGTGAATGAGCCAAATGTGGCGCAGCCTCGAGTGACGGTACAGAGCGCAGGGCATCGAGGAGATTCCTCTGAGTTTTGCAGATTTTGCGTAGACAATATATTTTCTTTCACGGCATAACCTTATATGAATGCTTAAATTTCCACTCGTCACTTACACGACAAATGAAAAAGGAGTTGTGGCAAGGACGCGGACGGGTAGCTAGGGGGCACGAAGGTACTCTTGTAAATAGTTCGCAAACTATGCTGCGCTTCAACGCTGAGAAATAGAAGGCATAGGACTAATACCGCAGCAGCGGAAGGGGCTCTTTGTTGCCTTCCGCTCTGTAGCACTCGTCCGCAGCCTCTCCTTTGCCGTTTACCCCGTCCGTTTTTGGGAATGCTCGTCTGAAAGGGGTACATACCGCCTTTAAACTATACTGTGCCTTTAAGCGGCGGTAAGAGTGAACCAACCACAGCGTTATCACTCGAGGAGTCATACTCATATCAGGATCGCCAAAAACTCGCGCAAGACCGAAATCGGCTACCTTAAGTATACCGTGACTGGTTAGAAGAAGATTGGAGACCTAAATAATAGTTTTAAAAGCCTGATTGAACTTCAGTGTCTACATAAAACTAAATCAACCTTTAGATCGCGGTGGAGCACGTAATGACTGTGCATGTAATCAAGTGCTCTGAACAGCTGCTGCATAAGGCACTTCACTTGAGATTCCGTGAAGGGATGAACCATTTCATCGAGGAGCCTTGCCAGGTCCTGAAGGAGAGCCTCTAGTTGCATCTAACTTTTTTGAAGGTGCACAATATATGCAAACCTGTTCACAATACTCCATGACAAGGAACATTCCTTGTGGATCTCGTGACACTGCTACTTCCTTGAGCTCAACGATATTTTCGTGTCTAAGCTTTTTTAAAAGAACGATTTCGCGAAGAGCCGAGTCCGAAATGCCCATTTGAGCGCTCACCTTGCTATCAACCCGTACCTTCTTTAGAGCTACCTAAACAGCGAATCTTGTTTTGAACAAATTCGTCCGCAGCTTCATAAATCATTTTAAAGGTTTTTGTGGAAGCTTTCTGAACGAATGAGAGTAATGAGTCAGCAAGGGGCAAGATTCTGTTCTAAAATGCGAGAGTTGCCAGAAAGCTTCAGAACTCATCCAAATGATAATCACTCTATACATATAAAGAACGCCGAAGAGTGACGGCGCGTAGCGGGAGGCATCAAAGAGCTTTCCCGAATTCTGCATGATTTTCGTAGATCAACACATTTCATTTCACGGCATAATCTTAATTGTACGCACAAATTTCCACTCGCCACATATACGATGCATGTAAAAGTGGCTCACGGGGCGACTGGTGAGCTGACCATGGGTTGCGTGGTGCATTTTGAAAATGGTGCGCCAACTATGCTGCGCTCCAATGTGGAAGATGCTTTTTGATGCCTCCGCTATGTAGCACTCGTCACATGAAAACACTTAATAAAACATACATTGGATCGGAATACATATAGACTATTGAAAGTGACCAGAGACCATACGGTCAATTATTAAGGCTCACAACTAGCTCGCTTTTGGAGTCTCTGGCCCGATAGACGATCCCATAAGTACCTTCACCGATGCGATTTAGCTTCACGAACTCGTTCACTGATCGACACACGCCATAGCCAAGTTTCTCCTGAATCATTCTCATGAGAATATTAAATCCTACCGAATGATTTTGTAAAGTGGTGGCCTCGTCGCGTCTGCCACTAAAAAATCGTAATTCATAGGTTCTGTGGACTGCTGTTACAATATTCCAATTAGGGGAAGACAATTGGTGGAGTGGAGATTCCGAAGGTTGGTGACAGCTAGTTACAACCACTACCAAGAGGACAGAGGCTGTAGAAGATAGAAGCTACTTGACCCGTTTCCTCCGTTCCTGAAAGCGATGTAGCATTCGTACTGAAGTATGTACGCGCGTTGAGTAACGCTGGCAGCATGCTCATCCTGCTTACGTAGAGTCCGGGTCTCCGAGGCGTACGTCAAAGCAGGAAGGAAAGCAGTGTCGGGAAGGTGAGCGCGGACCCGGATGTTTTTTGTCTTCTTCACTACTCCCTCGGTATTCTTAAATGCTCCCCACGCGGCGCGTTTCCTTTTGCATAGCTCCGGAGCTAGGTCGTTCATCATGTTGACTTCTCGATCTTGGTACACATACATATGTAGCCAGAGCATTCAGAGATATTCTTTTCATTTGGCGTGAAGGGAGCATCAGTTAGCAATCCGTTTTTCATGAACATCGTCTTCGTTAGGTTCAGTCGTAACCCGATTTTTCCACGAGCGTTGTTGAATTCGGTCAGCATTTGTTCCGCTTGCTCACTCAAATGCTTTACAATTCCATATGATGCATGACGTTCTCGAAACGACACTGAAAAGTGTGGGTGAGATAGTATCGCCCTGTCAAATCCCTCTCTTCACGTTGATAATGACTTCCTTGTAGAATGGTGAAATTCTGGTCTTGCAGTTGTCGTAGAGCTTACCTTATATATCGAGTGGGAACATACCGGTTGCCCAGCGCTCCAATTACCGCTTCTATCTCAATGGTGTCGAAGGCTTTCCTCAAACCGATGAACGCAAGACATAAAGGCATTTTGTACTCTCGTGATACTTCAATGAGTCTTGTAAGAGTGCGGATATGATCGATCGTACCAGCCCCTCTCCGAAACCCTACTTGCTCTTATGGTTGTCCTTCCTCTAATATTCTGCCAATCCTGTTCAAGATGACGCGTGTGAAAAGCCTTTAGAGCTGAGCTACAAGCTGGCAGCGGGCAGATTGGGCGATAATTGCCAATATCGTCTGGGTCTCCCTTCTAACCCAGCAACACAGGCTTGTTGGTTTTCCACGACATGGGCACTTTGCATTCCGACAGGTACCGCGTGAAGAGCCCAGACAAAGTTCCGACGATACTTGGTGGAGGGCTCCCAAGATTTGCCGGTTTGATCCTGTCAGGACCTTTTCATCGACAGGGTGGCATGTCGAATTCCGGGAGGGAGAACCGAAGCGATATATTACCTACCTAAGATGGCGGGTAGGCTGATGGACGTGGCTGTCGGAGAGATCCGAGTAGAAGTCATAGATGACTTTCTCCATTGCCCTTCGGAACGCAGTAACGGTTCCGTCAAGACGACGAAGAGAAGTCATCTTGGTCTTATAATTGACGATGGTCCGACGGGCTTTGCGAATCCTCTTCTCAGCCTCAGCGGCTTTGGCCGAGACTGCTGCTCTTCGTAACTTCAGAACTCCCTTTATCGCTTCTCTGCATAGCTTCATAGGTTCGGACGTAAGCTGGTTATTGCTTGCAGCTCACACGATCCTACGCTGGCGTATCAGCTCGAGGGTCATCGAAGAAAGGCGTTTCTCGGCACCTTTTGAACTCTCTGCTTTCTCCGCACTACCGTGAAGATGTTCGACAAGGCGGTTATTTCTCATCGATGATGTCGCTAACGAAATATTCTCACGAATTCGCAAGCGAAGCGAAGCGCAGTTAACAAAAGCATTGGGGCTTCGTTTCTCGGAGCTCTCCCTCCACGCACTGAAAAACAGAATAAAGCGTGCAGGAGACGATGGTCTGATCCCGTGTAGAACTTCGGAACAACAGCGACTTCGGTCAGGCAAAACTTCCGAGTGAAGATGATGTGATCTATTCCATAAGGGGCCAAACTTGACGTTGAATTCACAGGCGATGAACTTGAAGAAAATATGGTCTTCTCAATAGAACCTCTCCAGATCCAAACTAAACGCTTCCAGTTGTTTTTCTTGATGTTAATGCGTAGACAACGAAGATTGCTAGAGCTTGAGCCACATTTTCTCAATCGCAAACGTCAAACGCAAATTGTGGTCAAGATTTTGTACCAATCGATGTTCTTGGCTATGTTCGTGCTGACGAAGACACCTACCACGACGATGCCAAACGTAATCAATGATAACCAATCTGTATGAAGTTTTCTCGATGATTCTTCAAATTTTTCAATTGGAATCAATTCAAATGGAAATCTGCAGGATTTTGAAGAAGTTATTCCGTTCGCAACCTCATTTAGCTCTCATCAATTGCGATTTCGTTTCAAGTTCTTCAGTTTAAAAATCGAACTGAAGTGCGAAATTAGGATGGCTGCTCAATTCCAAATTCTATTGGACATGCTTGCACATACAAATTTTCTTTAAAACTCCTGTTAGTTCTCTTGTTAATTTCTTAAGGTGTATTATTACTGCTAGGCAAATGTGGAGCGTCGTAGTGACAGCCATACCTTTCGCCTAGTCCTTGTTGGATAGGAATGCAGCTCAGTAGAGAAGTGAACGAGGCTCACTGAAATGCTCACAGGAAACATGAACGGAGCGGGTGATGTGCGACGCTTGGAGTGAAAGTTTAGGTATCTCCATTTTAGTTGAATGCCACATCCTCTCTATACTACATAGATCATCGACCTTGACGGAATTCCCGTCCTTAGGGGAATCTTCGTATTCGCACCATATTGTATTGTTCCAGCTGAATATCCACGAGCTACAAATTCAAATCCACCATAAAAACATTCATTTTTAAGGATTACGAGATCTACGGACTGCCATAGCCAACACAAGAATCTGGAACCTGTATGGCTGCTTTCATAGTCCGCAAGCGAGCGAGCGCGCAACTGGGGGACTACTCGTCCGGCGGTATCGATCAAGATTCAGTTGTAAACAAGGGAGAAGCGCCGCCCCAATCGCTCGCTCGCTCGCGGGCAAATCGCGAACTATGAAAGCAGCCTGGGCGTTAGAAAAGATAGTTTGTTGCATGAAGGATTTGTCAAGATATCCAACGACACTCTGCTCTACACTTAGAATGCGAGATACTGGTGGACTGGTCTTACCGGGAACTCGCTCTTGGGAAGAAGACCTCATTCGCGACTTATACGTACGACGGAGGAAAACTCAAGCGAGGAACCATCACCATCCCAGGTATATCTTACAACAATAGTGCCAATCCGTTTTATACACGTCTGCTGTGATTTACTTCACTTTCAATGAACATTGATCCCTTTTCTCCCGGATGAAAAACTACACTGCTCTCACATACCCAGCTGCCAGGTGTAGTACGGCAGCTGCGCTTATGGAACGGATGTGACTAACAAGGGAAGGATCTCAAGTCGAAGTGGCCATTTGAAATGAGACCTATACTGCTAGACGTATTTTTCGATGCTGATTTCAAACCTGCATTCAAAATCTGCCAAACGATTCTCTGAACGAAGTTGTGGAGGTGGTCTCCGGAGAGCGCCCAACAGAGGAAGCACAAAAACCTTGGTCGCCGCCAGTCCAGCAGTGGCGACTTGGAGTGGAGGTAAGCGTGACGCTTCATAGGCACGGGACCAAGGATCGGGTTTGATGGG